TGTCGTCCTTCAGATGTTGATGAGTGTGAGAACCACCTGGCGTGTCCTGGGCAGGAATGTGTGAACTCCCCCGGCTCCTTCCAGAGGGCTTGTCGGGCTGTGAGAGCACTCCTTCAAGGCTGTACTCTCCCCTGTCCTTCAGATGTTGATGAGTGTGAGAACCACCTGGCGTGTCCTGGGCAGGAATGTGTGAACTCCCCCGGCTCCTTCCAGTGCAGGGCTTGTCCTGCCGGCTACCACCTGCACCGTGGCCGATGTACTGGTAAGAGCAGGTTATGACCTGGGACCTGCAGTATAACGTCTGACCTAGATGGTGACCCCTGTCCTGGACTGCAACCCAGACCTGGTCCATAACCTCCTGACCTGGACCTCAGTTCCCTCACCCGAACCACACGTCCCAGAGCCTGACTGTGACTTTTGACATAGACTATGGGCCCCTGACTCAGACTGCAGTTCCTGACCTGGACTACAACCTTTGACCCTGAATGTGACTTCTTACTCTATGACTCATAGACCTTCAACTTGACATTTGACCCTAACCATGATCCTTGCTAATAACCCCTTACCACAACTCTATAGCAAGTGTGACCCTCCTGACCCTGCCTGTCCTTATGGTCACAAGTTCTGTATGTGACTTGTGACACCTGAACTTGACTTTGACATTTGACCTAACCATAACTCCTGACCATAACCCTGCTACAACCCCTGATTCTGTGTAACTCTTGATACTCTCTCTTTCACTGCCCCTGTCTCTTCTCAGAGTCCCTTCCCTGGGGCCTGACTGGGTTCACATCCCCAGCCCCAACCCCTGACTAGAAGCAGAACTCTGGACGCTGACTATAACACCTGACCTAATTGGTCTCAGATCCTCCAATTCACTGACTCTGACCCCTGACTCATCAGAATGTCATCCAGTGATCCTGGTTTACAAGACCTGACCCTTTACCCTAATTAATTGATGACCCCTGTACCAGTGCAGAGTCCCTTCACCTGACCCCAGGATCCTGCACAGGGAGTTCCAAAAACCCAAACCCGCAGAACCCCCAATCATGGTCCCCAGCATCAGAGAACCCGCGTCTCCCCAGCCCACTTCTGCCATGGAGCCTTCCCATATCCAAACCAAGACACTGCCCACCATCTCTTGTAGACCCCTTGCCCCAACGGAATCCGTCCGGTGTGTCTCTAGACTAGACCCCTTCTTTCTTTTTAAAGAATCTTTATTGTTGAAAGTATTACATGGGTCCCCCTTTTTTTGGACCCCTTCTGGAACCCCCATTCCCATAGATGTGGACGAATGCAGTTCGGGCGCCTCCTGCGGCCCCCATGGCCACTGCACTAACACCGAAGGCTCCTTCCACTGCAGCTGCGCGCCTGGCTACCGGGCGCCGCCTGGCCGGCCTGGGCCCTGCGCAGGTGGGCAGGATGGGGCCAGGGCCGGAGAGCCTGAGATGGGCATGGGTTCCTGGGCGAAGCCTGTTGGGGAGTTGGAAGCTGGACAGCGGAGCTGTGGGTGGAGCCTAAGAGCCCACCCAACAGAGCATGCGGCTTGGGGGCGAGGTGGCCGCTTTGTGGGCGGGCCTTGGGTCTCAGGGGCGGGTCCGGTGACCCCCAGCTCTGTCTCGCACACCCTAGACGTGAACGAGTGCCTGGAGGGCGACTTTTGCTTCCCCCACGGCGAATGCCTCAACACCGACGGCTCCTATGCCTGTACCTGTGCCCCCGGCTACCGGCCCGGACCCCGCGGAGCCTCTTGCCTCGGTCTGTACCCACGCTGGGCCCAGACCCGGAAAGGGTGGTCTTATACCAGGAAAAGGCAGGACAAGGAATGGGGAGTCTGAATTCTGGATGGAGTCTGGACGCATTTTGGGGGCGGAGCCTGTGGGGCCTGGGTCTGAGATGGGAGGGGAGGGGTTGGGAGAGGACAGGGGAGAGCAGAGTCTGGGTAGCTGGGCAGTGGTTGGAAAGGAATGGGCCTAACCCCGTCGGAGGGGTGGGGCTTGAGAAGGGAGGAGCCTAAGACTGGCCGGAGCGGGGAGAGGGCTGTGGAGGGGCATGGCCTGGGAGGTGGAGCGGAGGAGGAGGTGGGTCGGGTTTTGGATTCTGTCCCGCAGACGTGGACGAATGCAGCGAGGAGGACCTCTGCCAGAGCGGCATCTGTACCAACACCGACGGCTCCTTCGAGTGCGTCTGTCCTCCGGGACACCGCGCCAGCCCCGACCTCGCCTCCTGCCTCGGTGAGAGGCCTGCGCGGCCGATCCCCCTCTCCCTCTGCCTCCGGTCTCCCTCCTCTGTCCTCTTCTCCGCGGCCCCGCCTCCCCGCCCTGACTGCCATCTCTCCTCGACTCCCCCATATTTCCTCCTTTGCCTCCCTGCCTCCCCGCTTCCCCCGTCTGATCGCCCTGCCTCACCTCTCAGACGTGGATGAATGTCGAGAGCGGGGCCCGGCCCTCTGCGGCTCCCAGCGTTGTGAGAATTCCCCCGGCTCCTACCGCTGCGTCCGAGACTGCGACCCTGGCTACAACGCGGGCCCTGAGGGCACCTGTGACGGTGAGACTACTGCCCTCGCCCTTAAGTTACTGGAGTTGGGGACCGCCTGCCTCAGATTGCGGGGAGGGAAAGGGCCCCAACCAATGCACTTAACTCTCTCCCCATCTCTGCTGGAAATTTCTTCCTTCCTTCCTTCCTTCCTTCCTTCCTTCCTTCCTTCCTTCCTTCCTTCCTTCCTTCCTTCCTTCCTTCCTTCCTTCCTTCCTTCCTTCCTTCCTTCCTTCCTTCCTTCCTTCCTTCCTTCCTTCCTTCCTTCCTTCCTTCCTTCCTTCCTTCCTTCCTTCCTTCCTTCCTTCCTTCCTTCCTTCCTTCCTTCCTTCCTTCCTTCCTTCCTTCCTTCCTTCCTTCCTTCCTTCCTTCCTTCCTTCCTTCCTTCCTTCCTTCCTTCCTTCCTTCCTTCCTTCCTTCCTTCCTTCCTTCCTTCCTTCCTTCCTTCCTTCCTTCCTTCCTTCCTTCCTTCCTTCCTTCCTTCCTTCCTTCCTTCCTTCCTTCCTTCCTTCCTTCCTTCCTTCCTTCCTTCCTTCCTTCCTTCCTTCCTTCCTTCCTTCCTTCCTTCCTTCCTTCCTTCCTTCCTTCCTTCCTTCCTTCCTTCCTTCCTTCCTTCCTTCCTTCCTTCCTTCCTTCCTTCCTTCCTTCCTTCCTTCCTTCCTTCCTTCCTTCCTTCCTTCCTTCCTTCCTTCCTTCCTTCCTTCCTTCCTTCCTTTCTTTCTTTCTTTCTTTCTTTCTTTCTTTCTTTCTCTCTCTCTTTATTGATTTCAGAGAAGAAAGTAGAGAAAGACAGAGATAGACACATCAATGATGAGAGCGAATCATTGATTGGCTGCCTTCTGCATGCCCCCCACTGGGGATGGAGCCCACAACCCGAGCATGTGCCCTGACTGGGAATCCAGCTGTGACCTCCCAGTTCATAGGTCCATGCTCAATCACTGAGCCACACCAGCTGGGCTATTTTTTTCTTAAAAAAAATTTTTTTTCTTTAAACATTTTTAATTTGTCAATTACAGTTGATATTCAATATTATTTTAATTAAAAAATCCTAGTGTCACCTGGCCGGCGTGGCTCAGTGGTTGAGCGTTGACCTATGAACCAGGAGGTCACAGTTCGATTATTCCAAGTCATGGCACATGCCTGGGTTGTGGGCTCCATCCCCAGTGTGGGGTGTGCAGAAGGCAGCCAATCAAT